CTCATGGTCTGTGTGTTTTTACATACTGTTAACTTCCAGATAGAAGTGAGCTTCCTGTCTTAGAGAATATATGGATAAGCAAGGACCATGGGGTGGAGAAAAAAACATTGGGGGCAGAGACAGGACTGGGCTGGGGTAGATTTTCCTGTGGGCTCTTCATTTACTCTAGATGCTTGTGGACTTGCTAAGATCAATCCACTGAGGAGGTGGTTGAAGACTACATTGATCTGCATGGCTTAGAAGGGTGGAGAAGGAGGTTGTATTCCACTGCTTAGAGAATAATGAAAAGTAATCCAAAGGGTACAGAATTCATCTGAAGGATTGAGACCCCAAGGATATAGTCTCTTGAGGTTTTGTCATCAGTCTGAGAACTTGCAGGTCTGAGGAGGCTCATTGATAAATCAGGGACAATCTGTTCTCTGAGTCCCAAGGAAGCACATCAGTTAATGGAGTTCAGCCTCTTTTATTTTCCCCCCATCCTTTATTTAAAGACTTTCTTGCTTAGTCGCTTAGGACACAGGAAGTTAAGGATAGGGAATTCTGGCTATTAGTTCCAACATTGACCACATCCTGAAAGGGAGTGAAGAAACTGGAAATCTGTGCATTTTTCTATTCTTTATACTGTAGTATGTGAGCCTTAATAAATAGGTATGTAATTACACAGTTAAATGGAAAAAGACTTAAGGTTTCTTAGAAGACTAGTGTTCTAGAATTGTAAGGGTAGCTGGTTTCTGGGAGGGATACCAAGTGGTGGTAGATGGAAGCAGGGACTGGGAGAGTTTCTTCACAAGGGAGACAGACTCCAAGTCTCTTTAGAGATCTTTCAGGATCAGTTCTTTGATACCAGATCTGTTGAGACCCCATAGCTGCAGAGATGAGGTATAGGACCCAGGCTTTTGGCTAGGATAGAGTACTGGGTTGTGAGGCACAGGGTTACTGGCAGAGCAGTTGGCACAAGGACATACATGCTTGAAGCCTTGGGGTATGAAGGGTTGAGACCAGAGGCAGGAATGCCATTGAGTTAATTGGTTTGGAATGGCAGCTGTTTGAGAATTTAGAGTGTTTCAGATCTTTCAAGAAATGGGGTCTGATAGAGTATAGAGGGTTGGTTGGGGCCTTGTCTTTTTCTTCTTGGCTGTATGTTTTTCCAAGAGCCTGGCAGAGAGCAGATATGTGATACATGTTGTGAGGTGATTGAGCAATTCTGGGCAAGCATATTGTCTCAGTTTGCCTTGTTGAATGTGCCCAGCTGTGGACATGTTAGTGGATGAAGCTGTTCAGATTTGTAGCCATGTTCCCATATCTTATTTAAAAAAAAAACTATTTGTAAATAGTTTAAAACAAAAATATTGCAAGAATAAAAATGGTATGACATCATATTCCCTTTACCTGGAATTACATGTAGTTAACATTTTACTCCATTTGTTCCCCCCCCACCCCCGTGTGTGTGTGTGTGTGTGTGTGTGTGTGTGTGTGTATACATATATAGTTTAAACCTTTTGAGGGCATCTGTCAGGGCCCTCTACCTCTAAATACTTGAGGGTATATTCCCTAGGAGTTGTGATATCCTCTTGCTTAACTCAGTAGTTAGCAGTCATTTAATATGAATACTCTCTAGTTTGTATTCAGTTTTGTCATTTTAGTCAATTTTTTTAATAAAACATTTTTGAGGTATAATGGACATACAGTAAACTGCATGTTTTGAGGTACAGTTTAAGTTTTAACATGTATATACTTATGCAGTTATTGCCACAATCAAGATAATAAACTTATCTGTGCTTCCAAATGTTTTCTAATATCCTTTTGAAATACCCCCAAACACTGCCCCTGTCCCCAGGCAACCAGTGATCTGTTTAGTTGTATTTTATTGAGTTTTATGTAAATAAAATTTAGTGTATTGTACTTTTGCATCTTGCAAAATTATTTTGAGATTCAGCCATATGTTGTGTGTATCAGTAGCTTATTCTTTATTGCTGAATATTACTCCATTGTTTTGGTAAGTCACATTTGTTTTTACATATTCCCCTGTTTATGGTCCTTTGGGTTATTTCCAATCTTGAGTGGTTTACGAATAAAGCTGCTTTAAACATTCTCATAGGTTTTTGTGTGGATATCTGTTTTCATTATTCTGGGTAAACCATGTATACCTAGGAGTGGTCTTGCTGGGTCATATGGTAACTGTTTTTATCATTTTGACAAATAGCCAAACTGCTATAAAAGGACTTTGGATTTATATCTCATGGCATACAAAAAATTAACTCAAAATTAATCATAAGCCTAAATGTAAAACCTTAAAACAGTAAAATTTACAGAAGAAAACATAGGGAAAAATCTTCATGACCTGGGATTAGGTCTCTTAGTTATGATGCCAAAAGTGTAATACATATTAAAAGAAAACCCTGGCTAATTGGACACTACCAAGTTTTTTTTTTTGGTGGTGGTACTGGGGATTGAACCTGGAAATTCCTTACATATGCTAGGCAAGTGCGCTACTACCAATGAGTTTGTCCCCCTAGCCCAAAATTAAGAACGTCTGTTCTTCAGTTACATTAAAAGGACAATAATTTTGTCAGTCTTATGGGTGGGAAATGTTAGGATAGTTTTGTTATGAGTGTAGTTGAATATATTTTTGGTACGTCTAAGGACCATTTTTGTATATTTTCTTTCGAGTTACCCATTTTGAAGTGGTCCACTTTCTATGGAATTTTTGGCCTTTTCTTTCCCTCAAAAATAATTTTTTTTTTTGTACTGGGAATTGAATCCATTTGAACCCACGGGTCCTCTTGTACATCTGTAGACCTTTTTATTTTGAGACAAGGTCCTGTGAAGAAGCTGCTTATGGCCTTGTTATTGCTCAGGCTACCTTCAAACTTGAGATTCTCCTGCTTTAGCCTCCCCAGTTGCTGGAATTATAGGCATGTGCTACCATGTCTTTCCATCAGTTTTTTTTTGTTGTTGTTGTTGTTGTTATTGGGGATTAAACCTGGGGTGCTTAACCACCAGACCGCATCCCCAACCCTTTTTTACTTTAGAGACAGGGTCTCACTGAGTTGCTAAGTGCCTTTCTAAGTTTGCTGAGGCTGGCTTTGAACTAGTGATCCTCCTTGTCTTTGCCTCCTGAGTCACTGGAATTACAAGCATGCGCCATCACTCCCAGCTTCCCCTCAATTTTTAAAAGGCCACGTCCCCAACCTTTTTTATTTTTTATTTATTTTTATTTTTTATTTACACAGGGTTACATTAAGTTGCTTAAGGCCTTTCTAAGTTGCTGAGACTCATTTTGAATTTAGGATCCTCCTGTTTCAGCACTCCTTTCCTCCCAGCTGCTGGGAGTACAGGTGTGTGCCAACATGCCCAAGAAAAGTTCCTTCTTTATTTAAAGTATTACACTGATTTGTCCTTTATGTTGCCAAAATTCTCTCCAACTTTTTCATTTGTCTTTTGACTTTCTTATGATGTTTTTATCCACACAAATGTGTTCCAATTAATAAAATATATAAATCTTTTACTGCATCAGGATTTTGAGTGATACTTAGAAAACCTTCCACTGCACTCAGATTCTAGAGGAATTTATTCAGGTTTCTTCTAGCATGTTTATAATTTTATTTTTTATATTTAGATTTCTGATCCACTTGTAAGTTATCCTTATATTCAGGTCAAATTTTACATTTTTTGAATTGATTATAATTATTATAACCCTGTTAACAATACTGTTATTTCTCTAGAAGTTGAAAATATCACCTTTGTTATATACATAGCTTTCTTTGTGTCTAATTCTGCTTCACTGCATGGTCTGTTATTTGTACCTGTAGCACAGTTTTAATTATAGAGGCTTTGTAGTATGTAGTATTTTAATATCTGGTAGGGGCAAGTCCTTCACAACTCATTTTTATTATTTGCCTTGATATTCTTGTGTGTTTAGTTTTTCATGTTGGATTTATGTCAGTTGAGCTATCTCCATAAAAGTATTTTTATTGGGATTTCTTTTTTTTAAGTATTTTTTAAGATATATTTTTAGTTGGTGATAGACCTTTATTTTATTTATTTATATGCAGTACTGAGAATTGAACCCAGTACCTCACACACGCTCTACCACTGAGCCCTCTTATTGGAATTTCTGATGGTGCTGCAATGTCTTAACTGAGGAAAAGGGAGATTCAAGTCTTCTTTTGTGTTTTTCAGGAGGTTTCTTGTTAAAATTATTTCTCGTATTTTATAATTTTCTTGGTTTTTCTAAATAGGATTTTCTCATCCACTTTTTCTTCTAATGAATTAATATGTGTAGATATGACAGCTATTGTTTTTTTTGTATGTTTTTATATCTACTCTCTTGCTTTGTTCTTTATTTGGTTTTATTTTATCATCTAGTGTCTTAGGGTTTTCTAGGCACATTCTTGCAGCATCAACAAATAGAGATAATTTTACTTTCCCATTTCTGCCTGTTTTCTGTAGTACAGTTGTATTGGCCAGTACTTCTTAGAATGTTAATAGCCGTGGAGATCATGGGCAATGTGGCTTTACTCCTGAATTTATGGGAATGCCTCTTGTGTTTCCTTATTAGGTTATCATGTAATACATGATTTTTTAAATCAATAATCTTAGGACAGTTTGATTTGAGGAATGGGAAGAAGAAGATCTCACCTTTTACTTCTTCCTCCCTTAATCTCCGCATGGAAGATGGGAAATGAAATTTGTCAGATAAAGAAGGGGGAGTTGGTGTTCTTTTGTTCTCTCTCTTCCACTGTGTCATTTTCTACCTCCCCTGAAAGCATGTATTGCTTTTCTGAGAACTCATTAGCTCATTTTGGAGGTTGGAGCATGGTACCCTAATCCTAGTTCAGGCAAAGGGCAACTCTTTTCTAAGAGAATCTGGAGTGAGCCTCCTAGCTTCCCTTCTTCACATTTTCACCTGTTCTGCACCTCACATTCTTCCACCCCATAGGGTTGTGGGGCTATGTGTCTTTGTGGTGATGGTTGGTTTTTCTCTCTCCTCTCTTTAGGTGCATGGCTGCTTCCTAGTCCCATATTCTGGAGGAAACAATCCTAGAACCGTGGGCCAGTGAGCCAGGCAACCAGGCAGCCTTAAGCCCTCTCTTTGCCCGCCCTCCCCTCTGGGGGCCAGGATGCTGAAGAAGCAGTCTGCAGGGCTTGTGCTGTGGGGCGCTATCCTCTTTGTAGCCTGGAACGCCCTGCTGCTCCTCTTCTTCTGGACACGCCCAGCACCTGGCAGGCCGCCCTCAGACAGTGCTTTTGATGATGACCCTGCCAGCCTTACCCGGGAGGTGACCCGCCTGGCCCAGGATGCTGAGGTGGAGTTGGAGCGTCAGCGGTGGCTGTTGCAGCAAATCAGAGAGCATCATGCTCTATGGAGCCAGCGGTGGAGGGTGCCTACTGTGGCACCTCCTGTCCGGCCTCGTGTGCCTGTGACCTCACCGCCAGATGTGATCCCCATCCTGGTCATTGCCTGTGACCGCAGCACTGTTCGGCGCTGTTTGGACAAGTTGCTGCATTATCGGCCCTCAGCTGAGCACTTCCCCATTATTGTCAGCCAGGACTGTGGGCATGAGGAGACAGCCCGGGTCATTGCTTCTTATGGCAACGCAGTCACACACATCCAACAGCCTGACCTAAGCAACATTGCTGTGCAACCAGACCATCGCAAGTTCCAGGGCTACTATAAGATTGCCAGGCACTACCGCTGGGCATTGGGACAGATTTTCCATGAGTTCAAGTTCCCAGCAGCTGTGGTGGTGGAGGATGATCTAGAGGTGGCACCAGACTTCTTCGAGTACTTCCAAGCCACTTATCCACTGCTGAGGGATGACCCCTCCCTCTGGTGTGTATCTGCTTGGAATGACAATGGTAAGGAACAGATGGTGGACTCAAGCAAGCCTGAGCTGCTGTATCGCACAGACTTTTTCCCTGGCCTGGGCTGGCTACTGTTGGCTGAGTTGTGGGATGAGTTAGAGCCCAAGTGGCCTAAGGCCTTCTGGGATGACTGGATGCGTCGGCCTGAGCAGCGGAAGGGCCGAGCCTGTGTGCGCCCTGAAATCTCAAGAACGATGACCTTTGGCCGTAAGGGTGTAAGCCACGGGCAGTTTTTTGACCAGCATCTTAAGTTTATCAAATTGAACCAGCAGTTTGTGCCCTTTACACAGCTGGACCTGTCATACCTGCAGCAGGAGGCCTATGACCGGGATTTCCTTGCCCGTGTCTACGGTGCTCCTCAGCTACAGGTGGAGAAAGTGAGGACCAATGATCGGAAGGAGCTGAGGGAGGTGCGAGTACAGTACACAGGCAGGGACAGCTTCAAGGCCTTTGCCAAGGCCCTGGGTGTCATGGATGATCTCAAGTCAGGTGTTCCCAGGGCTGGCTACAGGGGTATTGTCACCTTCCAGTTTCGGGGCCGCCGTGTCCACCTGGCACCCCCACAGACCTGGGATGGCTATGATCCTAGCTGGAATTAGCAGTACCTGCCTGTCCCTTTTGGGTCCCTTTCTTGCCATACCATGAGCTGAGGTAGGATAGCAGTCCCTGGGCTGCATCATCCTGTTTTCCTCTTGGGTCCATTTTATCATCATCTTTTTTTTTTGTTTGGTTGTTTTGAGTTGCATTCAAGTGCACAAATGATAAGGTGAGGGTTTATTCTCCCGTTTTCAAGGGAGTCAGAAGGGGAACCATTCTGGGGTATGTTGGGGTGGAGTATTAAGCAAGAAACCACTGTGTGGTAGCGGGAGACTTGGGCTTGTTGGGACTGGGAATGTCTATGTCCTGAGTTTTCTCCAAGTCATCTGTAGAGAGGTTGGCAACTAACTCTTGACCAAGCCTCCTCTTTCAGCCAGGGCATGAGCCCTGTACTACTCTTCTTCTTCACCTACTATGTGGGGCTGGATTATGTGAGAAGGGAACATTTGGGGCCAAAAGGAGACTAACCAAAAGGGTTTCACCATGAGGGGTGGGGTAGAGTTGTTCCCCAGGCTTTACTGCCTCCAGCTCTTCCTTCTTACCCTGACTTCCTCTCAGGTCTTCATTCTCTGTGGCCTAGCAGTGTGTGGTTTCTAAGATGAAAAGTGGAAGAGGGAAAAGCAAAACCCCTTCTCAGCTCATGTCAGGGCAAAGATAGTAGGGGAAAAGCCTGTGTGGGACTACCTTCCCTCTTTTTGCCTCAAAGAGACCTTGTTCTTCACCCCCCCCCCCTTTCTAAAAATAAGTCCCTTCCCTGTTGCTTTAGGAAGGTTCCACACTGACTTTGGTGGGAAATAAATGAGCTCTTTGTGTCCTTTTGCCCCTGGGGTTTGGTCACCTCCCCCTCCCCAAGAGGCTTTGGCTTCTGGTGGCTCTCCGCATATGAGTTAATGTAACTGAAACCAGGACAGCCCTGTCCATGCATCAGGTCCTGCCCAGCCTCCCCCAAACGTTGCCATGTCCTTACAGACCAGGATGCAGATGGCAGGTTGGAGAGGAATTTGTATGTTTTTGTTTCTTGCTTGACCTCGGTTTCATGGAAGAAAGTGGAATCTACAGAATTATTTTCAAAAATAAAGTAAAGGCTGAACTGTCTGCAAAATGTGTGTGTGTGTGTGTGTGTGTATATCTTTGGAGAGGAGGTGAAGAGTAGGGGAGCAAAAGTAAAAAAAGGGAAGAATGAGCAGCAAGAGAAGGAGGGGAGGGTAGGGGGTGGATAAGTTGAAGGAAGGAAAGCAGATGATTATAATTGGAAAAACAGGAAGGAGAAAGTCATCCAACAGCTGAGGAAGGACCAGCTGGGAAAGAAAGGCCAAGCTTGAGGGTGTAGAGAGCCCCCAGGCTCCACTCCTACTGTTAATCTCTAGATGTGGGCTATGTTACCCTCAGCAGGAGGTTTGGAAGCTAGCTTCTCAGCCTTGGTCTGAGAGAGAACCAGGGCATCTAAACCCTTTAGGTAGCTGTTTTGGGTTGTGTGCTTTCTGCTGACTTGGGTAGCTCCCTCTCCCCATAGGGCAGTGAGCTCCAGGATACATAGTGGATACCAGGGTCGGCTATGCAGTGACACTTTAGTGACCCTAGTGAAAATGTTTTTTTATACTAACACCCAGAACATACACACATACACATACCAGACGGTTCCTAAAATTATCCATATCATATGTAATGCATTCTGAGAATTTGTATTCTCTGCTAATTTTTTTTTAAATGCTGCTTGTGACCCCATCAACTTGATTTCATTAGTGGGTTTGAAAAATCCTGGGGCTAACTGACTTCATTGACAGAAACCACTTTTGGGCTTTATACCAGATGTGTATGGCAGAGGTGTCTGGATGGGTTCTGCATAGAAGGGATGGGCACTGGGGAAACAGCTTCAGGACAGCTATTTTTACCTTCCATATGGCCTTCCCTCCATAAGTCTTGGCTTTTGCCCTTCTCTTATCTTGGTCACTCTGGTAGGATTGCATTCATTGAGTTGAGTGAGTCATCCCCAAATGTGTTGTGTGAAGTCTCTCCCAGGCCTTCCTGAGTCTTTAGTGGATTTTGTAGTAGAACCCTGTCAGGGTTGGGTTGCCAGAGGACAGGCCAGGAGGGTGGGAGGTGGAGGACAGTTAATGTTAGATAAAACCACCACTTTTAAAATTCACTTTTTTTTTTTTTTTTTTCTTAATACATGTTTCTATACTCTTCCACATCTTTCTTTATACCTTGGTTATATACATACCAGATTTCTTACATATATAAACAGATAAAATATTTATAGTTGTGATTTAGATATGAGGTCTCCCTCAAAAAGCTCATGTGAAACAATGCATGAATTTTCAGAATTGAAATATTTAGATTATGAGAGTTGTAACCCTAGTAAGTGGATTAATCTTCCGGTATGGATTAACTGGACAGTAACTGTAGGCAAGTAGGGTGGGGCTGGAGGAGGTAAGTCACTAGGGGTGTGCCTTTGGTGTTTTGGGTTTTTTTTGTCCCTGGTGAGGCTCTTTCTGCATCCTTATTGCCATGGCCTGGGCTGCTTTCCTCTTCATGTATTTCCACCATCATGTTCTGCATTACCTTGGGCCCAGAGCTGTGGAGTCAGCTGACCATAGACAGAGCCTCTGAAATTGTGAGCCAAAATAAACTCTCCATTGTTCTTGTCAGGTCTTTTGTTCACAAAAAGACTAAAAGCTGACTAAAACATTTATCAATAAACCCACATAGTAATGTAAATATTTAACGTATATAGCTTTCTGTAACATACAAATTTTATAGTACAAGTTTACTGTATTTATTAAATATCTTTAGCAAATGGGATTTCAAACTTCCTGACAGGATCTATGTAGAGGTAAGTGGTTTGCCACTGGAGGGGCCCTTGAACTTCCATCTGTTCTCCCACTCATCTATTGTCTAACCTGGGCAAGTCACAGGGAATTTATAATTGGGAGCAGAGGTCAGAGAACCTTGCTGGTGGGGGCCAAGTGCTACATCTCCTTTTCTGAGGCATAGAGAACAGGTCTGGTAGCAAAAGTCATGGTGGTGATGTACCTGGGTCCACTACCTACATGTCTGACTTTGGATCAGCCATTTGTCCTGCCAGAGCCTCTTTCTGTGGGGCCAGAACAGTAGTGCCTCCTGGGGTGATTATGAAGAGTAGTATGTGTGGAAGCAATGTAAACAAAGTCCCATAGAAATCCCTGTCTCCATTACTCTCCTTTTCCTCCTTTTCTTGGTGGTCATTTTGGTCCCCCCTACTAATGTTCCCTGATCTCACATGTGTCTGGAGGGAGCAGAGTGGCAGCCATGAAGTTTGAGAAGGAAGAGGGCCAGGTAGTACTAAGGTTGTTAAACTTTCCCCTACTGGCTCCCTTGGCTTATTTGAAGTCTGTGTCTTTTTTCTAATATAAGACTGTCAGACTTAGATTCAGATGCATATAGCAAGAAACCCAGAATACTGTGCCTTACGACAGTGAGAGGGTAGGATTGGCATAGTGGTTCCTGATGCCATCAGGGCCCCAAACACCCTACATCTTTGTCTTACTCTACTTAGGCTTTCATCCTAGATATCACTTCTTGGCTGCAGTAGCTCTATCCATCACACTTCCATTTCAGGTAGGAAGAAAGAAGAAGGAAGAAGGTGGTAAAAGGTGGATGCCTGTTGCTGTCTTCCTTTCCGAAAGTCCACAGTGCCTTATCCCAGCTCCCTGGTCAGAACTGGATCATACAGAGCACCTATCAACAAAAGAGACTGGGAAAAATAATTTTTCAACTGAATTGATTCTTATTCAGAACAAGATTCCTATTACTGAGGAAGAAGGGAGTAATTTTGTGGGCAACTAAAGAAACCTGTACCACACATGAATCCTGGAAGACCAAACTTGGGGGGATTTGGAGTGGGCAGTATGATGGGGAGATTGAGGGAAGTGCATTAGGAACCATAATCTGGTGAAGGGCAGAATTAAATCTCCTCAGGTCCCTAACCCTATAGTTGTGTGAGAAACATGTCCAGCAGTGCTCAACGGGGTTTGTGCTAGGCTTTCCCAGGGTCACACATGTCAACTGAAATCCTTCAAGGCCACAAACAATAATAGAAATGCTGATTGACAAGGACAGATGGACCAAGGGACTGGTCATCTATTTTATCTTTCTACCATCTTCAGTACGTGGCACGTAGCTCACAGTCCAAGATGGTGCCTTCATTCCAGCCACCAGGAGGAAGGAAAAGGAAAAGGAGAACAAACTTCCTTCTTTACAGAATGAAATCAGTGTACATAGCACATTCCCTCATATTTCATTCACCAGAATTTAAACAGAATTTAATCTAGTTCTCTTAGTTGCAGGGGAAGTAAGAAATGGAGTCTTAGCTTGGCAGCCATGTGTTCAAAAAACTAAATCTTCTTTTACCACATATGTAAGAAAGGAAGCATGGTTAATGAGAGGCAGCTTTCTCTCTCTCTCTCTCTCTCTCTCTCTCTTTAAGTACTGGGGACAGAACCCAGGGGCACAATACTGCTAAGAATAGCAGAGTCCTGTTTATTTTTTGTTTTGAGACAGGATCTTATTAAGTTGCCTAAGCTGGCCTTGAACTTTTTATCCTCCTGCCTCAGCCTTCTGAGTAGATGGGATTATAGGCATGTGCCACCATGCCTAAGAGGCAGCAGCATTCTCTTGAGTACAGGTAATAAGGCAAAATCTGTCAAAAACCTTCCTTGGAAATAATGTTGTTTACTTTTAAAAATTTCTACTTAGAAAGGGAAAAACCCTTCAGAATCAGGGGTGAGTGGTGATGAGGTCTCACCAAGGGCCCTCCATACTTTCCCTGAGGAAGGCAACAAGAACACACCACCATGGGAATGGTTGCCTTGGTCCTACATGAAACCATGCCATGCAAATGAGAATGTGAATCTAAAAGTTAAGGTGTATTAGTCACCTGTCACTGTAACAAAATACCAGACACAGGCTATTTGTGAAGTAAAGAGAGGTTTTTTTGTTTTGTTTTTGTTTTGGCTCACAGTTCTGGAGGTTCAAAGTTAAAGATTGGAGTGCATGTCAGGATGAGTGTTCACATCTCTAACCACGCAGCCGAGAATGGGCAGGAATCCTACAATCATCTTTGGGAAGTATACCCCCAGTGACTTAAGACTTTCTCTACAAGGTCACAAGGCCTTGGGTTTCTTAACTTCCTAATAATAACACCCAGGGACCAAGTCTTTAACATGGGCCTTTGGAGGACATTCAACATCCAACTATAACAAGGGGTTGTGACTTCTGATCCTAGTTTGTTGAAACATTCAGCTTAAGGCCTTGAGTGCAGGCGCTGCCATGTAAGAAATCTGACTAAGCTGGCAACAGTGACACTTGCCTGTAATTCCAGTGATTTGGGAAGCTGAGGTAGGAGGATTGCAAGTTCAATGCTAGCCTCAGCAATTTAGGGAGTCCCTAAGCAACTTAATGAGATACTGTTTCAAAGTAAAAAAAAAATAAAAACAACCTGGAAGGTAACTCAGTAGTAACGCACCGCTGGGTTCAATCCCCAGTACAAAAACAAAACAAAAATAAACATCCAAAGAAGCCTGACTACTGTGAGACCACTTCACTGGAGAAACCAGATGAACTGGTTGGTAGTTAGCATCATCTACTGTCATGTGAGTGAGCCATGTTGGATATGCAGTCCTGTACAGCCTTTAGATGTTTGCAGCCCTGGCCAACTTTGAACTGAAACTGCACAGGACACCCTGTGCAGCAATTGCCTAGCAAAATCCCTTGATAATTTCTGACCCACAAGTTGCAAGAAAAAGTTGTTTTTAGCTGAAGTAATTTGAAAAGTGAAAGTATAACTAGAAGATCTTATGTAACCAGAATGGAATGTTTAGACAAATATTTTAAAAATTATAATTTTTAAGCATTTACTCATTAATATCCAGGGGTGAGAATATTGTTATATAGGAGACTATTTCTATTATTTGGGTAGAAGTTGTTTTTGAATTAAAGCATGTGAATATCTTTTTATTCTCCCAAAATGTTTTTTTTTTTTTTTCAATTTTTTATTTAAAGTATTATTCAAGTTGTTATTATGGAAGTTTTCTAATCCAAATGGAAACTGAAAGAGTTTGC